TCTGCTGCTTCTTTAAAATGTTGTGTTTCATTTTTGTATTGTTTCATTCACAACAGTACACAGTAATATATTCATGTGCGTGTGCGTGCACACCTACGTATTTATTTCACTGCGTTTTTGTCCGTGTGCAAAAGCTGTTCAATATTACACATTAGGATAGTAGACTTTTTATGAGAAGATATGTGTGTATAATTATGGTTTAATTGCTTGCCGTGTGATGTGCTGTCATCTGTCACAGCTCAAAGACAGCAAATAATGGTTCTGCTGCCATCGCTTTGTCACCCAGACGCTCAGCATGCAGAGTGCAGCAGAAACACCAGTAACTGATATGCGTCTTGAATTACTGATAAGCGCTCGAGTATGATGAGTTTTGTGTATGCGGGCGTGCTTGTGCTCTCAAAAGTATCGTGGTCTGCCTTTCTATCTTAGTCTATTGTGATTGACTGCTTAAGTGCGCATGAGTGTAACAGTGCTTGTATGAATATTTTAGTGTTTGTGAGTGGGTGTAGCTGTGTGCTCACTGTGAAACCCTTCGTGTGTGCGAGTGGGTTGGTGGGAGTGTTACGGGAGAGTGAGGGTGCACAGGCTCACATGTGTGTGAAAATGTGTTTGATGCCTACTGTATATCGGCACTGACAGATGTAACAGTTGTGTTATGCTTTAATGCTGCTTCTTTGTCTGGTAAGCTGCATTGTGTGGTTGAGAGATGGAGTAAACAGAGTGAGAGAAAGGCATCCTGGGGGCTAATTTATTCACTCCCCAGTCGCCCTACTCGCAGACGCGTGTTTCACCAGCCCACCCGTCAATCCTGAGAAGCATGCCACAACTTCATCCAACTGCACGCAGCCACACTACGAGTCATTCTCAGTGGGCCAAGGGCTTTAGGCTAGAGCAGTATGATATATCAATGAACTTGCCATAATCTGAACTAAGAAGACAGCGCTTTCTTTTTAAACTGTACAAACGACATTTAAAAGTGTGCCATTTTCTGTATGCATCAAAAATGAGTGTGCAGTCACAACTGTACCGGTGGTGTTGAAGTCAAAATTTGTAATAGGCAGAAAAGTAACATTTCTGTTGTCATGGAAAACTGCAATTATTAATGCTTGACACTTAAAAACACCAAGAGTCACCAGTTATTAAAAAAAAAAGTCTTTTCAATTCATGGAGGAAAACCCAGCGCTGTTTTTGTCACCAGAACATCAGAAATCACAAGCTTATATAACAAGCTAGATGACAAAGAAACCTTTCTTTATTGGGCTAACACACCATAAGATGGTATAACTTGTGACTATTAAATATATTTAACCTATAACAATCCCTCCATCAGAGCATAAACCTTCAGCTAAAGAGAGAGAGAGAGAGAGAGAGAGCTTTTCTGATTACATGAGCATTCTGTTCCTTAACTGGGCCTCCAGGCTGCCTGCACATCCCAGTCTGACCCACACATAACATATATGAAACTAGGGAAAGGAGCGGATATAAAAGCATCCATCAAAACAATGATTATTAATGATCCACATATGAAGTAACATATGAACAAATATGAAAAACTGTGCTTTCTTTCACACTGTTTGTAGACATCTTTCACAAAAGTACAGTCTTACAACACTGCAGTTGCATCACAGCTGCCTAATCCCAGAAAATAATACAACGGTTTATGACATAAACACAAAACTACACAGTAGAAATGTGTGAGCTGGTAGAAGTTGTAGTTGACTATAGTAATGTGATGTTCGATGCGCTGTGGAAGTGGGAGGAAGCGCCTGTCTGTTGCCAGCGTGGAGTAATGGATGGCAGAGCTATGGGAGTGGGAGGAAGCATACATCCTATTCCAGACAGCTGTAATGGATGAGACTACAACACACAAAAAAGAAGAGGAGGAAGTGTGCATGCCTTCTCTGATTCTCACACGCAGTTTGGTAGTATTGAAATCAGTTCACAATAGATGTGATTGGAACAATGGAACAGCAGGAAACAGTCAAGGCCGTTTCATTGTTAGTGAATTGGTCAAATTACATTTTTACAGCATGTGTGATTGTTTTAAACCCATACAGCCACATTTGCGTGTCTTTGTGTGTGTGTGTGTGTGTGTGTGTCTCACCATGTGCACAGTCTTGTGTAATTGTGCGGTGGTACTCGGGTACAATTAATCAGATGGTTTGATGTTGGCAAATGAGTGTTTATACAGAATGATCACTTCTGCAGACCCTGCTCTTTTTAAAGTAGGCTTTCGTTGAACTGGATGAGCACATCACCGTTCTCAATCCCTCTCTTGGCCTCGTCCATACCTCAGGTCCGCTCACATCTACAGTGTTTAAAGAAACCTGTCGTAACCTAATGAACACAAAACTGCTGAACAACAAAGCAATGCCAGTATATACATGCGCACGTCTGTGTATGCACACATACTCTGCTTCATCTGTACATTCTGTATAGTGTATGTATCACCCCAGCTATGTTTTCTCCTGATTTCTAAGCAAACAGTTACACCATAGTGGATTGGAAACAAGCTCAACCCTCCCGACCTGCTTGTTTGATTTATTCCTGTAAGAGCCAAGCTTCCTGTCTTAAGAGCAATCCACCTTACCCTCACCTTTCACAAATATTGTATCACACAGAATCACAGCCTGTTTCCTAGCTGCTGTGGGTGGGGGAGAGTAGAGTGCTGTAGAACCTTGTTGCAATTGTAAACAAGCAAAAGCAGGCTAGCCATCCCTCTGGGTCACCTGGGAGCTGGAGACATGGGTCTCCCAGAGAAGGATTGAGGAGAGGAGAGAGGATGGGAGGAGGGTAAGTGCTGCCCTGTTCCTGTTCCTTTCTGCATCGTGCTTCGCTGTGTTTGCCTCCACTGCTGGATGGTGAAAAATGTCTCCTAGCCTCTCTTCCAGATACCAGGAGGCATTATCAGCTCTGCTTAGCTCTCTCCATGGTAACGAGGCCCCAGGCACAGTATTATCTGTTTATGATAAGGATATTAATAATACTGTGCTGTAGTTATGTGCTGGGGTGTCCTTCGGGGTGACGAGGAAGGGGAAGGGCCTGGGAGATGTTGGGGTGGGGTGAATCATTCTGTCAGAGGCTCTCTCCAAGCAGGACAGCATAAAAGCGTAAGAGAGCAAAGAAAAGGAAGACAGTGATGCTGAGATGATGGTGAGGTGTTTCCTGGTTAACCCCATCCACTGCCACTGTCTTTGATTCCACTGTAAGAGCTTGACTGTCTGCCAGCTGGTTGTCTTATAGAGGGAAGGGGGAAGGGGTCCAAAGGTCACAGCTGTCCTGTCAGCAAAGAGGTCAGCCTGTTGTCTGTGCTTTGCTGTAATGTAATGTTCTCTCTTTCTGTCCCACTTTCCCTCTTTCTCTACTATCTCACTTCCTCCCAGTGTCTGTATGGCTGCTATGTCCACTCTTCTATCATCCCCACGTTCCACCGTAGGTGCTACTGGCTGCTCCAGGTAAGGACTCCTCTTCTTCTCTTCTGCAGTTCATTGCAGTTTAGTTTCATTCTCAAAACTCTCCCAGACCATCCACAAGAACCTGAATGAGTTGCATGATATCAGTTTCCATTTAACCAAAGCATTTTCCTTTGACAGACAGCAGGCAGACATCAACCCCCCCCCCTTCTCTCTTCTTTTTTCTGTGCCCAGCCTCCATTTCCCTTATCTTTCCCAGTCATTCACTCTTCTGATGGCATTGCCCATGCACACTGTCTGGCATGAGGACGGTATCTCAGTCTGCTAAAAGCTTTGCCATCTCCCCTGTCTAACAGCTGCAGTGATGGGTAGTAAAAGCATGATGGAAGAGGTTCCCTGTTCAGTATAGTGTGCTTACAGTGGGTCGTCAAGTCTGCAGGCTGAGAGTGGTTGTAAATAGTAGTCCTTTGATCACCTCGCCAATACATCTCATCATTCTCGTTTAGTATGGCAGCCATTATTGTTGGGAGGGGCCTGGTACGTACAACCATTCAACCATATATTTTTAAGAGAGCATAAAGCATACACACAGAGAATAAGGGTCTGTGGAGCTGCTGCTATCTTTGTCTGTCTATCTGTCCATCTCTCTCTAGTTCTCCTGATACGTACAACCATTCAACCATATATTTTTAAGAGAGCATAAAGCATACACACAGAGAATAAGGGTCTGTGGAGCTGCTGCTATCTTTGTCTGTCTATCTGTCCATCTCTCTCTAGTTCTATATCAATGCATACACTATATTCTAGTATAAAATGTGTGAAGAAGAGGCATCTTTGGAATAAAATCTAGTTCACCTAGTTCAATTCAGTTCACTTGTATTTTCTAAAGCCAAGAATTGTTGAGTCACAACACCGCTGTAGTGATCAGACCCAGAAGACAAATCTATTTGCAACCAATATCCTTTGGTAATTTCTGTTGGAGAGCAGACCGTTAGGAGAAAGACAAAGGAGAAAAACTGGCCTGAACAATGCTTAAATACTAATCAAAACAATTAGTCTTCCCACAGCAAACAAAACCTTTCAAACAACAGTTTATTTCTCTTCTGCTCTCTGCTGGCAGTGCATATGTCACAGACATTAATAACAACACTAGCGGACAAAAGGCGTGTCTCTCCCTGACTCTTCTGAGTTTAGTCACCAAGTTGTTCAGTTTAACATACACAGATCAGCCACAACATTAAAACCACCTGCATAACAGCACGTAGGGCCCCCAAAGAGCTCTGGTACCAAGACACCAGCAGATCCTTTAAGTTGCAAGGTGGGGCCTTCATGGTAAGTGGACTGTATTTATATAGCGCTTTTATGCAGGGAGATCATACACCATTCACCCATTCACACACACAGATGACGACACGGCTGCCACACAACAGCGCTAGTCAAGCCACCGGGAGCAATTTGGGGTTCAGTGTCTTGCTCAGGGACACTTAGGCATACAGGGAGACCAGGAGTCAAACCACCCACTTGCTGGTCAGAAGACAACTTGCTCTACCTCGTGAGCCACAGTCACCCCACAATTTTCAAATGAAGTGCAAACAATTCCAGTGTACTAAAAGTTCTGAAGAATGAGTAATGCCACTATCACTGCAACTCAGATGTCACTGTCCACAGAGACTGTATCCTGTTCAACACAGCTGTGTTTACTTAGATTGGACTGTGATTATCAAAAGCTGACAGGTTCTTCATTTCAAAACCTCCTATTTAAAGCCATTTCATCCAGCCATCATCAGTCTCCTCAGATTTTTTCACACATGTCCGATTCATGAATCGGACTTGTTTGTCCAGCACATCCCACAGACACTTGATTTGTAACTGTGAATTAATTTGTAGATTTGAAATAATGCCTTAAGGAATCTATCATTCAAATTCTCAAACTAGCAAGACACAGTGCCAAATATATTTGCTTTGTTTGGAAGGTTTGTGTATTATTTATAATTTGCTTCCTTTTGCAGACTCTTAGGAAAATCTGTTGATTTAGTGAAGTTATTGTGTAGCGCTCTAGGAGATCCTTAAAGGATAGGTTCACCTTTTTTTCTCCCCACATCTTGATACAATCTCGTATTCCCATATTCCCATATATACAATGAAATATCTTTGCATTCTGTTCTCTTGTCCTCCTATCCATACTGAATGAGAAAAGATATCCTCTTTGTGTCTCCGCAGACAGGTTTTACTTGCAGAGCTTCAGTGTAGGGGTAGTAATACAAAAAAGGAATTGCATAGTGTCCCCATTTGAATTTAATAAATCAGACTACTTAAAAGCTTCAGACAAACTTAACAGTTGTGAACCTATGCTTTAGGTCAGCTTCAGACCTACTGGAGTCACAGTTCAATGGAGAGTCTGGCCAAAGCTACATTTGGCAAGTATACAATAACACAAGTACACATGTAGTCATTAGGAAATGTGTACGCACTGCAGAGAGAGGGAATAACACAGAAAGCTGGGATTACACCGCGTCACTGGCTTTTTAACACTGCAGCCAGTCACCATTTCTCTCTGCCAGTTTCTGGACACACGCACATCAACACTCATCACACTTTGAGGAGTTTCCTGATAAAACTTTTCTTTACTGTTACTGCAGAATATCAGCTGAGAACAACTGGTTGTGTCCCTCACTTCTCCTTCTCTCACATTACTCAGCAGATCTCTTTACATGATTCACAAGACCATGGAGTGCAGCTAAGACATCCACTCATTCAAAAAAAAGTGCCTTTTGCTGCCAAAAAACAAAAAAGAACTATTTACAGCCAGGTATTTTCTTTGGCACTGAGATGTAAACTCAGGCCTCCAGGTTTACATCTCTTTTTAAATGTTTTTTTGAAGACCAATTGTGTGGACAGAAACCACAATTATGACGACACCAAAGGTAAAAGGTTACCCTGCTTCAGTCCGTATCTCTCCAGATGCAGACAGACCTTTAGTGCCTCATTCTCTTCAAGCCACTTTCAGTCAGACAATTGACACTCAGCCCTGGGTACAACAGTCTCTCGCTCACTCTCACTCTCTCTTTCTCCACTTTTCTCCGGTCTCTGAACCCTCTGTACCTGAATCCCTGTACCATTTGCTGTGTCCATATGAGATTTGCAGGCAGTAGTCTGTCAACAGCAGAGCAGCAAGGAGACTGGAGCTCCCAGAGCAGTAACAGGGAAAGGTCACCAGTGAGTGAAAAATGTAAATATTCAGCCATCCAGCGGCCACAGTCACGGAGAGACAGGGATGAAAATAACTCCTATTACACAGCACCGACAGAGAGGGAACACGGAGAGGGCAGAAACAGACTGTAAATGAGGGAGACAGTGACACAACTTTTAAAAAGTTAGGCTATAAAACACACTGACAAGAGAACTAGAAAGAGAATAGATTGAAAGGTTTGAAGCAGCAAAAAGAAAAGAAAGCAGCAGAATAGGGAGAAAGACAACAGCATATATTTGCATGTAGGTTTGGATGTGTGTGACAGAGCGAGAAAGCAAGCAAGTGAGAAGCGAGAAAGACAACCAGAGTGAGGTTGGTGTTGGTGTTCTGTGGCAGGGGGTGCTAGCCTGTGTGTGTGCGCGCCTCTTTATCCACTCGTTATCCCCTCTTTATTGAGTCAAAGCCCGGGTAATGAGACAGGGGCCGGGAATGGAAACTTGCAAGGGGGGTGTTCTCTCACTCCATTCATTTTCTTTTGTTCTTTTCACCTCTCGCTCTCAATCTGTTCATCACCACCCCACTACCTCCACCTCTCTATGGCATTAGACCATTTTAAAATGTCTTGCCCATCCTCACAAATTGCTGAGACTGAAAAAAGGTACCACTGCAGCTATTTGGGGTTGCAAAGAATGAATCCAAATTGCTGCTGAGACGGAGAGCTGCCCAGAGCAGACTGTGTGGTTTGTCACTCAAATTGTGGTTGAGTAGATTTGGTGTTCTTTTTCCTGCTGTGGTATGTTTTCAGGTCTGCTAGCAAAACCGTACACACACAGTCCCCACATCCATCATAAATATCCTAGCATTATGTATCTACAGTTTAAATGCTGTCAGTTACAGCCTGAGTGTGCCTAACCAGATATTTAAAGGCATATTGGTACAGGTTTAGTACGAGGCACATTCTTTCTTGCCACAAGCCATTATGTCTCACACACACACACACAGTCAGACACACACTGATTGACACAAAGCATCTCGCCTGTCCCGGTTGCACTGATTGATTCTATCGCTCCGTGTCCCCTTCTCTTGTTTAGTGCTAATCGAATGTAATTCCCTGCTTGTGCCTCTCCATCAAATCAGGCAGTGGAGTTTGCGCTGGCTGGCGGGGGCACAGAGGTGTGGATAATTATGATATTAATACAGAGGGGTTCTGAGGGGAAACTTCATTTGTCCTGCTGCCTGCCATGAACACAGAGAGAGGTCAATAGCCTCTCCTGCTTTTCCTACTTTAAAGAGGAGGAGAGAGGGATGAGATAATGAAATGCCTGGTAAGGCAGGAGGGAATGCTCATGACCTTGTTTCTTCACAGCTATCACACTCTCCCTCTTACCTTTCTCAGCTTAGGCCACTGTGCTCTAGTCTGTCTCACATGAATCCATTATTAATATCACCATTCACTGCAGTTACATTTTTCTTATTAGATTAGTCCTTCAGAGTATAATGACTTTGGAACCACTTGAATTAGTGTTATGTAGGAAAATGAGTTGTCACTATTGTCCCTGTGATCATTCCAGCACTATTAGACACCATTTCAGCAATTTTAATTTATAAAGTGAGTCAAAGGATACTTAATTGGACAGGCAGAGTGGTGCTGTCCGTGGTGCTGAGACCTGCTTCTCTCTAACCTTTCTAAGTGTTCACTACACCAGAGCCTTTTGTTTCACTTTTTTTTTACTTGCTGTGTTGATTTATCAAAAAACCACCCAGTGCCTTTGAGTTCCCATGCATTTCACCTGTCTTAACAAGCTCACCGCTCTCCAAAGATCAGTACACCGAGCCAAAGCTGTCATGTGTA